TTTTACTTTATCATGAAACAGGAATAAACCAATCGGTATCACTTCTGTGCCTTAAATAACTTGAACCATATTTTGTGAAATAAATTTTACATAAGTATATCAAAAAAGTAACTATTTGAGTGAAAATAAATTAGTGCATTTGACTATGAGTGATAGTGCGGATGAGCTGTCAAGATCGGAGGAACTTTCAAGCAACAAAAGTGCTAAAGATTTTGGAAGTCAAGTATTCAGTGATACATATAATGCCTGGCGTAAGTAGATGGTTATACATTGAAAGGGATATATTTTAAGGCGAGAATAATTTTTGCGAAAGAAAGGTTTTGGTTTTCTGCTTCTTCATCTTTATATAAAAAACTGTGAGAATCTTCCAAAGAAAAGAAGAAAGCAAATTATTCCAAATAATTACAAAGATGTGTAGATCATACAAAGAAGTAACTTTCAGACACAAACTGAAAGAAAACCCCTCTCGAAACTGTTACTTTCATATAAACATTGAATTATACGAAAAAAAATAAAACTTTCGAAACAACTACTTTTATATAAACATTAAATTATACAAAAAACACATTTCCTATTTAGTTTATGCTAAAAACATTCGTTTTGGAATTGAATCAGATATCATCAATAGGAATGCTACACAATATAGTTTATGGAACATGGAACACTGTCATCCTCAATGGCGGATATCGATGTTTCGGAATCAGACACTTGTCTTATTGCTTCTTCAGCACCAATCTGGATAACATTATCAGATAAAGCACTCATTTCATTCCTAAACTTACGACCCAATTCTTATGAAATATTATTACTTCCATGACTTCTAAATACATATGAATACACAAACACCAAGAGAAATTCAACAAAAAGGAAGAGAGAACATGTCTACCAAAGATCTGGCACAAAGTATTGAAAAGCGTCAAAACAAAGTCAAGTCACCCAAATCGCGCGGAATGTTCACGCGACCCCGCCATCACCGCGGAAAATCAGCTTCAGTTTCAGTTGACACGTCAAGAACAGTACTTCGACTACGCAACTGAAGATGACTGCCGCAGTTTCAGTTGAAACTTTTGGGAATTGTGACCAAAAAAGACCACGGCAAAACCCGGAAACCCACCAAAACATTGACGCCAGCCGTTAAAGCCTACATTCCTATATCAACCTACTACTTATTAGAGTAATTAAAATATATTAGGAACTAGTTCTATATAGAGAAGAAGGGCAGTCATATTTGAATCCGCCAGTCCGCCACTGGTTAATGGTGATAATTTTTTTGGTTGAAAATAAGTAACGAAAGATATAAATATCTCCTTAATGCTTATAAGTATTCGTTTATTCCATAGAATTAATTCAATTGCAACGGATGCTCCTGGAGTCGTAGTTCACGACCTTGACATCATTATTATGTGAAGCGAAATTTGATTAATCGACTCAATTCGATTTTAAAATGAATTCGTTTGGTTCAGTGAATTATTCGGCAAAAATGTGAAATTCTTGTGTTTCGAAGCTCAGCATCGTTCAGAAATGAGTCTTTATAAAACTGCCATTCAAAATACCCACTTTATAAATGTTTACAGTAAGTTTATAAATATTACTTTCTAGAAAATAATTATTGATGACTGAAGTTATTTACAATTTTATCTAGAGGCAGTCTACATGGGGATCTGCTATGTATCTATCGATCTGTTCGACTTTATATCAAAATCCTGTGACAGGTTTTTTGAGCTTTTATTATTTTATTGGCTCATTCTATTTACCGAATGACATATTACGTCACATATCATAGGTTAACACATTCAAAACTTCATCAATCATAACATTAAAGTGACTTTCATAATGTGAAATTTCAAGTGAATAAAATTTGTCATATTAGTTAGATGTTCCAGAGGACTTCCCAGATACCAAGACCTTTCAAAAGCAAGTATCCTTTCATTGACAGTAAGTTACACACCAAATGAATGATGTAAACATTTTTTAAAGGTTCTATTGGCATATTCCCCCTTTAAATGGTGGGATGGAAAATAACTATGTTCTCTGTACTGTGTTGGAAAACCATATTGAAACTAATTAATACAGTTTATTGTGTGATTTTCACTATAAAGGGTTTTACAAAAACCGCGACACGTGTTTCGCTCCACAATAGCTTCCTCAAGCGTAAACTAAAAGTTACTTCTGAATTACAACCATTTTATACTCTAACCTATTACCTACTCGTGTGCCTTCGTTTTAATGAATGAATCTACCTGTAAAGGTCAGGTATGAATTCATTAACTATATCAATACATTTTTCGAAAGTATCGTAAATATACTTAACTTTTTTACATGGAAATGAATATATTCAATAATGGCGAATTATTCAATTCAGTTTGATCGTTCAAGAGATATTGAGAGTGTTTGAATTCGTTTATTTCCTTACTCTCCAACAGGTTAAGTTTCAAATCTTTCTTCTGGAAATGGAGAGGCTTGTATTCATAGTTGAACTCATATCCCTCTGTGATTAAATGAGTGGCATATGCGGAATTCATTTTTCTTTTCTGAAAATTAATTTTGTGTGCCTTTATGCGGGCTTTGATGTTCTTTCAGTTTGACCTATATTAAACATCGGACATTACCCACGTGATCATTTATACACTCTCGATTTTTCCGAAACTGAACTTTTATCTTTGTTATTTAATGTGCATGCCTAAGTTGTTGTTGGTTTTGAAAGCAATATTCACACCTTTGTTTTGCAAAAAATCTGAAATATTTGTAGTGGGTTGGCCGTAGTAGGTTAAGGTTCTATAACTTTTATCCTCTTTTCTTCGAAATGCGGTTAAACTTCCTTCAAAGCTTGGGTGTATAACTTTTTTGATAATAAAGAATTTCAGACTGATATATCATAATCATTGTTGACGGCTATTTGTTTTATTACGTTCAGTTCTCTATTAAAATTCGCCTCTGACAAGGGCACATTTATCAGTCTGTGGATCATATTGTTGAAAGCTGCTACTTTGTGCTGATACAGTGGACCAATTATGAATGATAGTATCTGTATGTGTCGGTTTACGATAAATTGAAAAATCATGTTTGTTGTTAACTTTTGTTATTGTCAAGTCCATTTCTATCTCCATTGTGAATGTGATAGAAGGGTGGAGAGAATTGATGAAATTCAAAAACTAAGTCAACTGTCTGTTCGTTCCTGTGAAACAATATTGTTGAAATTTTGTGGGGGAACATATTCATTGTAGTAAAACCAATAATGATTGAGAGTAAAGCGCGTTGTTATATCTAAATTTTACGTTACCAGTTTATAGCAGAATCAAAATATAGTAAGCAGTAGAGTTGTAGGTTGTGGCAAATTATAGATAATACACAATACTAGTACGATTAAAAGGTATTATTTATGACAAAAATCAGTAATGAGCTTGTAATGAGTAATACTTATACATTTCCTGATTACTGATCAGTTAAAATTCATTATTTTCTGTATAGTGTTAGATATTTATTACAACTAGTGGCAACGCTGTACGCAACGATATTTCTGTCTTTGTCACTTTACCGTAACTTCCATCTCATCGTTGCAGTCCTCACTAATGTACTTGCAGCCATGAGC